ATGGTGGACACAGGAACAGTTAAAACATCTTTAGCCATGATTGACAGCACTGAATATGTGAGTTTGTGCTGATGCCACCAGTTCAAAATGTTAAAATCATCATCTAACTGGTTCACAGTATCATGGTCCAAGTAAGAAACAAGTTCAGAAGCATTAGAAGCTGAAGAACTTGCAGCCTGTAGCAGGGTAGTTGCAAAGGTATCTCTAGCCATGCTTAGAGTAACAGCTAGAGGATGCATACCATCAGCAGAACCACAAACATCATCATCATCATCATAAATTTCATCTCAAGCAGATTTTTTCTTACCAGATAGGTTAGGAGGGACAGTCCTCCTCAACCTAACAGCTTCATATTTTTTCTCAAACTTATTATAGACATTAGTAAGTCGAGCTCTAGTGCCCAACCGGTAAGTAGTATAATCTATACTAGTAAGGTTACCCAACCTCCTAAGCACTCTATTGAAACCTTTCATTTTAACTCTAGGGTCCAGGATGAATGCAAAAGAATAAAATAAAGTTATGTCCCTCCAGTATTTATTATATTTGTCTATCATATGTTGAACCACAGGTCTAATGTGACTATCATTAGCATAATTCTTTATGTGTGTAGCAATCTTAACAATATAATGAATTATAAGTGGAGATATAGGATAGTACACACCAGACAATGCAACTGTAGAATCATAAAACAGTTCAAGAAATTTAAGCACTTTTTCTGCCATAGCCCAATGATCATCAATTAAAAGCAACTGAGCACCTTCAGCCCTAGGATATTGAGCATGCATGAAAGTAGTGAATGGGGCCTTATGAGAAAATAAATGCTTAAGCATTAGATATGTAGAATTCCACCTAACTTCCATGTCCAGCTGAAACTTTCTAGGCCTAACATCAATGGCAATACAATAACTTTTATATGCAGCAATTCTCTGGATAGATGAGTTTAAGAAAGATATTGCAATTCTAAATGTTTCAATCAAAGGCTTAAGAGCAGTTAGGGCCTCCTTAACAATCAGATTGATAATATGACATGCACAACGTTGATGCAAGAACATACAATTAACTGCATTAAGGGATGCATTGTCTTTGTCTAATTCTTCACTATCATCATCTACAACTTCAATACCAAGATATTTAGAAAGAATAGGTCTAAGTTTTGCATGACTGATGCATTGTCCAAAGTAACAGCAAACACTTTTTTAGTCAAACCATAATCAGCAAGCACGGATGCAACATGATCAGCAATGTTTTGTCTATTGTGGGAACAATCAATAAGCCTAAGACCAAGCACTCTCTTCTCTAGTTGTCAATCAGAGTTTATGTAGTGAGCAACAACACTAAGGTAGTCCTCTTTGACATTATCAGACCAAATACTAGAGGTTAGACACACACAATTAACACCATCAGAACTAACAGTCTCAACAAGCTTAGCCTTGCAATTAATGAAGTATTTCAACATGTCTCTAGTGGTGGTTTGCCTAGAGATTAGAACATATTTAGGATTATGAGCAGTTCTAATGTACTCTTCAAATGCATCAGATTCTCCTAAAGAGACGGGAACATCAAGCCTAGTAAGCAATCGAACCAGTTGAGTATGAGCAACAATAGGACAATACTCCCAATTACGCATACTACCATCTATGATTAAAAGAGATCTATGACTGAGACATGCGAGTTTTTCACGCCTCCTAGGGCATTTATCCCTATGCGGATGAGGTGACCAGTGCCACCACTAGAGAGCGCAGAGTATTCCTTAGAGCAATGGATGCACTTAGCTCCATACCTGACTTTCTTACCATTCACTTTTTTTAAGAGCTTCTTAAAATCTAGCCACACTGCCGAGGTAGAGGGATGTGAGCGTTTGGTGCTATTCTCATCCCCTTCCCCGTCCCCTTCCCCGACATTTGCTGCCCCGCCTTCTTGATCATCGCCGACATCGATGGGAGCTTGAACACTACGGCCGAACAGCTCCTTGGCGTCCTCACGCAGGTCGTCCTCGTCATCATCTCTGGCCAACCCGCACAACCGTCTCTCTTGGTTGGTACCGACCTCAACCGTGTCGTCGTCGGATCCAACCATCATCACGCGTCGGCGCCCCGGTTCCTCAACAGCTTCAGAAAAACAAAGAGTTAGTACAGATCTAGGGTTAGGGTTAGGGTTAGGGAAAGGTTTAGGATTAGGGTTAGTCGTACCTTCACGGCCGGAGCACCAGAATCCCCGGTTCCTCAATGGCTTCAGAAAAACAAAGAGTTAGTACAGATCTAGGGTTAGGGTTAGGGTTAGGGTTAGGGCTAGTCGTACCTTCACAGCCGGAGCACCAGAATCGCCGGCGACGTCGATGAAGCACGGATCCAAGGAGGTCGACGACGATGACGACTGCCGACACGGAGATGACTAGTAGGACGACGCTACAACGACGAAGCGAGGTCAAGAAGAGGGGTATACATGGCCGTGTCGTGTGCCAGTGCCGGCCAGCGGTGGCTCAAGAGGCCACCAAAGGGCAAGAAGAAGAGAGGAGGTCGAAGGCGAGAGAGGAGAGGAGAGTCGCAGTCGTCAGAGGAGAGAGCCAGAGAGGAGAGCGAGACAAGAGAGAGAGGACCGGTGAAAATGAATTAGGGCGACGGGGCGAGGCCGGTTATATATCCCTCCCCCTCCAACGGCCAGATCCAACGGTCGACAGGAGCGGGGGAGGGGCATCAACGGCTCGCCCCGCCTCGCCGGCTTGGAGGCAGCCGTGCCTCGCCTTTAACGGGTCGTGCCTGGGCCGGCACTGCGGGCCGACATTGCGGCCCAAACACGGCACTACAACCGGGCCGTGCCAGGCATGGGCACGATTGGAGTGGGCTGGGCCGTGTCTGGGTCGTGCTTCTTAGTGTCGTGCCTGGGCCGGCCCGTAGTGCCCGCGCCAGATGGCCTTATATAGAGAGAGCCCAGATTTCAGGCGACTGTACAATAGGAAATGTGCCACACTTTTCATTTTCCAGGGGATACCAAAGGATCCGATTCATTCTTTATCTGTCTTGCTTCCACAGATCTTCCTAGTCTTATTCCTAAGGTTAATAGGTATGTTGTTACCACATGATTTCGGTGTGAGCTAGAAGAGAGGAGTATTTGATTGGAACTAGGGCACATGTTTCTTCCTCGAGAAATAATCAAACGCAGTCGCCCGATGGTTCTCAAATCCATCCGTCACCCTGCCTGAGAGACTCCACGATGGGCAGCGCCTGTGAGAGGACCCCGCCGGGAGTGGGGGCTTGGTCTGCAACTGTGACGACTGCGCAGAGATGCTGCATGCTGGGCAGGGAGAGGGAGAGGAGAGCGCCGGGCTGCATGCTAGGCAGCGCGATGCGCTCGGAGAGACGGGCGGGCGGGGGCGTTACGGCGGAGAAGGTGACTGATAGCGAGACAAAACGATGGAACAGTTGACACCCCCCTGGTGGACTTTGGTTTGGACGAGCAAAGGGCCGCCTCACCGGCGGTGGCGGCGGCGGCGGACATGATGTGACGCGTCCCCTAAAGCCCAAATTATTGGTCGCGGTTTTCCCCTTTGTTCATCATGATGAATAATCCCCATGGAAAAACAAGCATATCTCCATATCCATGGCGGTCGACGTCCCATCTCCTGCAAGCCTGAAATTCCGTGAACCGAATGCATGGCGCGCCGGCGACAGCCGAGTCGGCGAGGCGCGATTGGCCGCCGTGAGCATCCCCTGCCTCGACCTGGTGGCATGCACAGCACATGCGGCAGCGCGGCCGCGGGTGACCCCGTGAACCAACGCGCGTGTCGTTTCTCGTTTGCACACACGGTCGCACCTCGACGTGGAACCACAGTTTTGTGCGGTAGCCACTAGCGAGCCCATAACCCCACCGCTGCGCTCAGAGCCTGCGGGTTCGTTCGTTGTGGAGAGGCTGGAGCGAGGGACGTACGGCGGTCTGCCGGCTCGGCGCACCATCGAAGTCCTAAGATTTGTAGTCCTGCTACAAAGACACCGTGCCGTTCCTGCGGAAATCCTCAGCTTTCTGCAGACACGGCGCGCCCCGCCCCTGGTGGCTCGGACGCTCGGTGATCTTGGAGTGTAGCGCGCGTGGCTAGTACCCTGGACAATCTAGAACCTAGTGGGCACTAAAGGAGTATCTAGGGAGAATATAGAAATCTATCAGATAACGAGCCTTCCATCATCGTCACCAGCACCAGCGCACGATCCCAACCAAATCATTGGCTGTATGACTATCAGTACATCACGCATTCGTATGACAAAGTTACAAAAATACAGGACATCGGTCTCGTGTGTGGACCTCCATGTCTCACGCACATTTCTATGGAACTACAATACTGCATATCCAAAACACCATTCGTGCCCGTGCCGGCGGCCCACGCCCGGCCGGTTTGTCCTGCACTCTGACGTGCTCACAAACACCATTATCTGTCTGTGACGCGACACCAGAGTGGAAGCATCACGCACTGCACAAGTGCACATTTTCAAAAGCTAGGAGTAGCATTTTGCTATCAGCTTACAGTTCCCGCGCTGGCGCTGCTATTATAAACCTGCTGCTGCTAGTCCTCTTGGTCCGCCCATGCTCGCTCGCTGCGCGGTCACCATTGCGTGCTTGCACCAGTCTCACTCTCACTCAAGTTGCAGTTGCTTAGCAGCGCCAGCAGCCAGTCATTTCATTGGCAACAGGCGCAGAAATATTCGTGGATAAGAGCTGCACTGCTGCAGCGCTGAAATATCCTAGGGTGAAGATTGAAACAAGGCCCATTTTCGATTAGCCCAAGCCAAAAGGTCCGTTTCTGAAACCGTTCACATCAGTTTCTGAAACCGTTTACAAAAGTTTGGACAATATCCACCAATTCCTTGTCTTCTCACCTTTTGATGATTCTGTTTCTGAAATCTCCACTCCTGAAATGGTTCCATCCGTCCATGGTTTCGGAATTTGCCATGGTTTCGTAATCACCTGTGGAAATTTTCAGGGTCTCCTGAACCACAGCTGGTGCTGGGACCATGGAGATTGAGGCCGTGGAATCAAATGGCTCGCACGGCGGCGCCGATCGCCGGACACCCAAGAGAGATCGCCGCATCTTCTGGGCCTGCGCCTTCATCCTCGGTAATAAGTAATAACTAACATATACACCTCTGGTTTTTTTCCCCTGGTGATAAGCATCTGTTCATAACTTTATATGGCCTCGTCCGTCTCGACCTTTTGGCTGTGGCCTGTGGCATCTGCATGCACTCGTACGTGGTGATGGCTGGACTTGGACATCAGCGAATAACTGCTTCCAGTGCATCGCCTACTTCGCCGTGTCGACGAACCTAGTGAACTACCTCAAGGACCGGCTGCACGAGGGCAGCAAGGCCGCCGCGAACGGCGTCACCAACTGGATGGGCACGAGCTCCATCACGCCGCTCGTTGCCGCCTTCCTCGCCGACGCCTTCCTCGGCAGATACTGGACCATCGCGCTCTTCCTGGTCATCTCCTTCGTGGTACGTACGTACGTCGTCGTCCACCATCAGACGCAGAGTCGCAAAGCAAGCTCACCCACCCGGCCTCGTCGCCGTTCTCTTGTTTTGTTTCCGGCACGTACGTACTCAGGCCTACGTGGTGCTCACGGTGAGCGTGGCGGTGGCGCTGGAGAGCGTGGCCTTCTACGCGGGGCTATACCTGTTGGCGCTGGGCGGCGCGCTGCAGCCGGTGCTGACGTCGTTCGGCGCGGACCAGTTCGACGAGTCCGACGAGGAGGAGCGCGGGCGGCAGAACTCCTTCTTCAGCTGGTTCTACCTCTCCATCAACGTCGGCTGTCTGTTCGGCGGCACCGTGCTGGTGTGGGTGCAGTCCAGTGTCAGCTGGGAGCTTGGGTACGGCATCCCCGCGCTCTTCAGCGTGCTGGCCGTCGCGGTCTTCCTGGGCGGCACCACCGCGTACCGCCGGCACCAGCCGCCGGCCGGCAGCCCGCTCACCAGGGTAGCGCAGGTTGTCGTCGCCGCGTTCAGGAAGTGCGGCGTCGAGGTGCCGGTAGACGCGTCGACGCTGCACGAGTGCGAGGACGTCGACGGTATGTCCGCGATACAGGGGAGCCGCCGACTCGCGCACACCGATCAGTTCAGGTCAGTAGCTAACTCGTCGTAGATTTGTTTGTTTGCAGGAGTAGGGAATATTATCAATCGTAATAAAATATATGTGATCGTTAATATTTTTCTAGTTATAAGATCTAGCTTCATGCGAAATCTTGAACTATTCGTCGATATTTCGATATCCAGCTATAGACGTTTTAGAAGTTTGCAGCATCCAACCACTCTGGGATATACATTGCCCTATTCGCTTGGGTTATAAGCCGTACTTTTTTAGTCAACGAATAGTATTTTCTTCTCACAACAAATCAGTCAATAGCGCTTTCAGCCATGGCTTATCAGCCAAGCGAACAGGACAATGATTTTTAGATTACCCATACTGACAAAAGGAATATCAAGCCCAAAATTTTTAGGAATTTTTTATTACTGAAAAATCCAAAAACTAGACTACAACTCCGATGTGAAGTAATGATAATTCTTTAACTGATCTGGACTAAGGTATAAACAAAAATCTAAGTGTTGCGAGTTTGTTATGGACTATGGTGGAACCTATCCGTCCAGGGTTCGGCTGTAACTTTTTTATAAGTTTGCAGCATCCACCCACTCTGAGATATATGGTTCCAATTATATTTTACTATACATTGACAACAAAAAATCAAGACTGTTTTTTATTACTGTAAAGTCCAAAAACTTGACTACAAATCTGAGTAATGGTAATTCTTAAACTAATATGGACTAAGATACATAAATACAAATCCAACTGTTGCTAGTTCATTTTTATGGACCCTATGCATCTAGCTTCAAATCCTAGACTCGACACAGGTGCACACAATTTTTTTAGGTTTATTTTAGAAAGAAATGACACTATAGATGTCGTAGTAGGTGATGCGTCCATTGTCAATAAGGCACCTATGATAATTTTTTCATTTTAATATCTTTCAATCCATTCTCCAAATATGCACATTCGAGTTAGGGGTGAGTTACATGTGCTTACTTGAGGGTCCGCTATGTTTTTTTAAAAAATGCAGGTCGTATCGTGCCTTATACTCTCCCATAAGTAAATCCGGCATACTAGATTTTGCCCCTCTTTTCTTCTTCTTCCTCCATCTCCGTCTTCGTCATGCTGCTCGTCCTCCCGATCTGAGTGCCTCCATCTCCGCTAGTCACCGTCTACCGCTGGTCGTTGTTGTCCGCGCTCTTAACTCGCAACAGTCCTCCCTTCTCCCATTATGGGCATTTGCCCCTGCTACCTTTGCCTGTACCCACTGCCCTACTAGTCTCCGGTTGTCCGAGGTCATCTCCACCCCCGGTCCAGCATCGAGCTTGAAGATCATCGACGGCTCGCAGAAGAAAACATGAGGAAGAAAAGGGTGGAGGTCCCTCATATTTCAATCTAATGGTGCCAAGAAAAATCGGGTGTGGGACGTGGCGGGTTTCACCGGAGCACAATATATATATCAAAGCCTAAGAAATCATGTCTTGGTATAAGTTCATAATCCTTAAAAGTTGAGTCATGTTATTGCTCGCTAGGCGTTACTCGATCGTTTACCTTAGTCAAAAGAAGTTGATGATGTCATATTGTCATTGCTGACTAGGTGTTAGTGAGTTACTCGTTTACCTTAGTCAAAAGCTTGATAGCCTATACGACCTAGCATGACACCGTACGTGCGCTGTGACATCGTCGGCCTTTGCAACATTATATATTGTACGTCGGAGTAACGAAATCATATGCATTTTGAGTAAGATGGTCCTCTAGCTGGTACCGATATCATGCATCTCGGTGCCCTGCACTGTCACGTGTGCTGCTGCTGCTGCTTCATGCCCAATTGTTTATTATACTGTTGCACCGCGGCAAGTTTGTCGTGTGCATGCCTAACTGATGCAATGCAAGAAGAAAGATTATTTTTCAGATCGTTTTCATTTCGTTTTCTCGCCCATTACCTTTCCTTTCTGCGGCAAGTAGTAGTAGCAGTGGTCATTATCAGACCGAGGCCACTGGATGAAGCAGCAGCCGCCAGCCGGCCGATAATATTAATATATACTCCCTCCGTCCCGTTAAGATTGTCGCTCGGGAAGCGGGATTGTGAGGGGGGCACGGTTTTCCAACGACAAACTCAATGGGACGGAGGGAGTATATGCGCAGCACGTCGGCAGCTGTCTGTCTGATACAGAAATTTGATTGCAGATTCCATGCAAATCTGTCTTGGACGCTGGGTGCATTGTCGTATCATAGCAACTTTACTGAAACCAAGGGCCCCATGACGCACCAAACTATACTGCGTGCAGGTTCCTGGACAAGGCAGCGGTGGAGACGGCGACCGACAAGGCGGCGCGTCCGGCGAGCGCGTGGCGTCTGTGCACGGTGACGCAGGTGGAGGAGCTCAAGTGCGTGCTCCGGCTGCTGCCGGTGTGGGCGAGCGGCATCATCTTCGCGGCGGCGTACACGCAGATGACCACCACCTTCATCCTTCAGGGGGACACGCTGGACCCGTACGTGGGCGGCTTCCGCGTGCCCGCCGCCGTGCTCTCCGTCTTCGACACGCTCAGCGTCATGCTGTGGGTGCCGCTCTACGACAGCCTCGTCGTCCCGCTGGCGCGCCGCGCCACGGGCCACGACCGCGGGTTCACGCAGCTGGCGCGCATGGGCGTGGGCCTCGTCGTGCTCACGCTAGCCATGCTCGCCGCGGGGGCGCTGGAGGTGGCGCGGCGCGTCGTCATCGCGCGCCACGGCATGTACGACACCAACACCGGCGTTGACGGGCGGTACCTGCCGCTGTCCATCTTCTGGCAGGTGCCGCAGTACGTGGTGGTGGGCGCGTCCGAGGTGTTCACGTCGATCGGGCAGATGGAGTTCTTCTACGACCAGGCGCCCGACGCGATGCGGAGCCTCTGCTCGGGCCTCTCCATGACGTCCTCCGCGCTGGGGAACTACGTCAGCTCCGCGCTCGTCACCGTCGTGGCGCGCGCCACCGCGCGGGGCGGCCGGGATGGCTGGATCCCCGACGACATCAACCGGGCGCACCTCGACTACTTCTTCTGGTTGCTCGCCATGCTCTGCGTCGGCAACTTCGGTGTCTACCTGCTCATCGCGCGCTGGTACACGTACAAGAAGACCGTGGATTAAAAACCGGTCTATAGCAGTAGAATATTAGCGTGGGGGTGCTAGTACCGATTTCAATCAATCCAAAGAAAGATCACACTTCACTTGGAATGGTGGGTGAATGGGTGATGCAAAACGACGGGCCCGGGGGAAACAGAAAAGCGCCGTTGAACAATGACTGGGCTTGGCCCGGTCCAATAAAGCTAATTAGTTGAGCCCATGGTCCAATCCGGTGCAGGTTCCATGGTCCAACTCCGCGTTAAGCTGTGCAGTGTCAGACGTGCAGGCCTCAGGCACCTCTCTTCAAGTCAAACGGACACTTCCCATCGGTGGTAACGACTAACGACAGGTTAGGGGTTGCCGATCGATGGATTACGGACCAATGGCTCCGTGTGCTTTCGCCGGGCGCGACACCGCAGCTTGCGTCGCTAGTGACGACCTCTTGCCTGTTCGTCGATACAATGCGATGGGCCATGCACGGAATTTCAGATTATTCGATTCTGCCCCGAGAGCGACTGTTAAGCCTGTGACGGCGACGTGCGTGTTTATTTGCTTCCTCAAACGCGCTGCACAAACAAGAGCACGAATTTTCTTTTCCTGACCGACCAATTGTTTTTATCCCTGCGTTAACATGATGGCCGGCGAATTATTACATGTCTCTTTCGTTTCGTACGCTGTTAATCAGAACGTAAATCCAATTTGACACTCATGACTTCTGGAGCGAACCCACGGTGGTACATATGAGTAGTTTAGATGTAAATTTAGGAGATAAACTATAAATTATCTTTCATGGCGAGTTCTAAAAAAATGTCTTTCTTGATGAAAAATTGGTAATTTAGATATAAATTTAAGGGGTACCTTAATTTATTTTTAAGAATGGGAGAGCTGGGTACTTTAGAAGCAATTTAGATTCAGCGACATTATTGCTAATGCTAATTAGACTATACTAAATTGATGTCCTAATAATTTTATTTTTGTTAGAATTTTCAGTGCTCTCTCTTTAGTTGGTTGGCTGTCGATGCAGCAATCTCGATATCTTCTTTTATTATGTTTTACAATAAGGTCTAGTCAACACCCTATTTTGATGGTGAAGGATTGTAAAACCGCGTTCTTTGAGGGTTCCTTCAGCTGATGTTCTTTTTGTACGTACTAAAACCCGTAATTAGAGGCGAGTGACTTTTGCGGTTTTCAAAGCCTGTACCTCTATGGATTTGACTAGTACTAGTAGGCAAAGAGCCGATGATCATGATCCTATAGGCATTAGGCTGTGTTTAGTTCGTGAATTTTGAGAATTTGGCTACTGTAGCGCTTTTCGTTTTTAGTTGGCAATTAGTGTTCAATCATTAACTAATTAGGCTCAAAACGTTCGTCTCGCAATTTCCAACTAAACTGTACAATTAGTTTTTTTTCGTCTACATTTAATGCTCTATGCACGTATCACAAGATTCAATGTAATAGCTACTGTAGCATTTTTTGAAAAACTTTTTGGGAACTAAACAAGCCCTCACATTCAAACATAGTACACGATTTCTTTTCTTACAAAAACCTCGAAGGATTATAGTAACAATGCGGTGGCCAAAGTAGGACTTTGGCATATTCTGTCCACATTGGTCGAACAGGAAAAACAGGAAATGACAACGGCGACGAATGACCGATTCTCGTACTCTTGGAATTCGTTATGACTTATGAGCTGTAACAGTACGGCTAACCTAGCTAGCTAACGGCAAATTTTATTAATATAAGGCCCCGTTTGACAGGCTTCTTCACCAGCTTCAAGAGCCGTTTGGAGCCGTTTTCTACAAAACGGGGTAAAGTGAAATAGCTTCACTAGTGAAGCCCCTAAAAACATGCTCTCACAATGATTTGGGGTGGGATGGAGCCAAAAAAAAGTGGCTTCTCCTGGCTCCTCCTCCAGTCCCCTAAAAACATGCTCTCACAGGGAAGCCATTTTGCCAAACGATTTATCAAAACCACTTCAGCTCCATCGGTGGAACTATTCGTGGAGCTGAAGCCAAAAAAATGGCTTCACTAGTGAAGTGAAGCCCTGTCAAACGGGGCCTCAATAAAACACATATACGTGCCTCTAGATTTGCAGGACCAAATCCTAACGACTACTACTCAAGCTCCATCCCTAAATAACTGTTGCTTTTAATTTCCGTGCCATAAATTTGATTGGATTTGTAGATAATGTATGCAATATTTGTATCTCTAAATAAATTTATTATGAAAATAGATTTAACGATCTATTCAATGATATTAATTTTGCACTATAAATATTATTTTTATATATCTAGTTAAAGTTGTTTCTCAAAAAACAAAAACAACAGTTATTTAGGAACGGAGGTAGTAATGACAAGGACAGATATATAGATTTACAGTAATTTTTCATTCTTTTTTCTGCTACTAGTAATTTCATTCTCTAGTCTATATAGGCCCCGTTCGGCTGGCGGAATTTTGACTGAAATTGGCTGAAAAACACTGTTCTGGCTAAATTGTTGTGAGGGAAAAAAACTATTTTGGCTGAAAAAAGAAGTCGAACAAGTGGAATATGAGGTAAGCTGAAATGAACGTGGTTTTGTTTGGTCGTGGGTTACTGAATGTCTGAATCTGCTAACCACTGACATTGACAGGTATGGAGGTTTTCAGCTACTCTGCTCCGTACTTGAGAGGGATTTTATTACTGTTTAGGGACAGTTTTTTCCTTTTATGTTGTTTGGAAAGGTACAAAATTATACTCTCTCTGTCCTGAAACATAGTGCATTATGACTTCTAAAATTTATACTGAAATATAGTGTATTCTACATAGCGTCAATGTCTCAATTGGGAAAAGTTTGTTAAAAAAAAGAAACCACAATTTAAGGAGAAATACCTTAATTGGTTTATTATATGAGTACATGCGTAATTTTAGGATTCTATTAAGTTGTCTTAAAAATGCACTATATTACAAGATCGATGGAGTAACTTGAGTTTGTTAAATGTAACAAAATTTGGTACATATATCTATATAGTTGTAGGATCTCTGGTTGACCTAAAGGGGGATGAATAGGTCTGTCAAAACAAACACTTAAACTTTTATCAAATTCACCCTGTGGCACTGCCGCTCTAGAGGGCGACACTGTCGGACTGCGGCACTGTCGGACCAGAACAGCGTCACTGCCGCACCTATAGACAACTTCGAGTCACAATTCAAAATCCGTGAACGAAAACTTAGATCGGAGAAATTTTCTAGCTTACTACAGGTATGACAATCACAGATCAAGAGCTAGAAGTAGTAGAAACACCACACACAAGTAGATCGACTAGAAACCCTAAAAATCACCTCAACCACAATATGTCATGCAAGTAATGTAAATCAAGCACAAGTGACACAATGATTATCCCGTGGTTTGGCTTGCCACCAAGGCTTGCCTACCTCCACGTTGTTGAGGTTAGCCACTAAGGCTTAGAGCTTTCCAACCCTTCCTCATTCTCAAGTCAAGAGACTTAACTCTTGAGATGAGGGATGAGTTTACTAGCTTCAAGAGATGGTTACAAACCTCCCAGGGCTGCGACACAAGTTGGCAAGCTCCACAGACGACGCTCTAGCCAGCTAGGAGCCAAGCTCCAAGAGTAACAAACACAACCGCCGACCAAAACATAAACCAAGTGCTCTTTAGAGTTGGGGAATCAATGGAGCTGCTCTCTAATCGAGTTTTGGACCCTTCTCTCTCAAGGATTAATGGGGAAATCAATGGATTTGCTTGGGGCTTGAGGTCAATAATGGAGGGAGAGAGCTCCCGCTCTGTTTTAGACGTGCTGAAGTGAGGAAGAAGAGGCAGAGTACCGTTGGAAAGGAATGGGAAGGGTATAAATACCCCCTCAGCCCCCAATGGTCACTTAAGTCGCAACAATGTCGCGGCTCAAGTACGGCAATACCACACTACGGCAGTGCCTCTCTTCAAGTGCGGCAGTGCCGCACCACGCAAGACAGCAAGGGTAAGAGTAAAGTGTAGACTGTCTTGGCTGTGAATCTGAGGATGCATGTGTATGTTTGAGCACTTGGTAGCACATATTAGCTTAAGCATTGTGTCCCCCTTTATAGTATGGCTTTTCCTATACTCAAATTTAAAATATAAAAGAATTTAAACCTCCTTTGAGTTTGAAGCCATCTACATTTGTAATTGGGGGCTCATCCGTTTCATATAGCATCCTCGAATATGAATTCTCTGCTTGTCATCTCGATAAATCTCATTAGTTCTCTAATTATGTGGTCATTATCACCAAAACCCACAATTAGGGCTTGATTGCACTTTCAATCTCCCACTTTTTGGTGATTGATGACAACCCAATTAGAGCTTACAAAAGATATGAAATAAATACTAAAATTTTTGAGCCATGGGTGTAGAGCCTCCCCCTAAGTATGTGAATAGAGAATTAAATTCTCAAATTGGCATAAGAAACCAAGATTCACATTTTAGTGAAAGTGATTGGGCTTCCCCTACATCCATGCTCCTGTGGGGTGCTACATACTATGTTAGGTATGTACAACATGATGCAAATGACAGTTTATGCACAACATGGTTTGCTATTGCAGCTAGGTACATCACTGTCGCACCAGAGTGTGGCACTGCCGCACTTGCTGTAATAGCACAAATCAGAACAGACACCACACAGGATGTGATACATATAAAGATATACATTCTAGTACAATTGTATCACAAGCGACATCATCGATTAATATATGTCCATATCCCACACATATAAAAAGTACTTAAATAGTATTATTACATAAAAAGAGTTTCTAATGGACTCTCAAACTCTCACCTAATGAAGACTACTCTAAACGGATATGAACATGACTCTAGCTGCAGCAACCTCCTCTCTATGGCGTTGAAAAAGTTATTGACCCCTCTAATTTTCTCCCCCTTTGACATAAAGCACCAAAAAAAGAAGAAAAAAAGAAAGACCAACACTCACTCCTCATCCTCTTAGATGGTGTCCCAATCAACATCATCCCCACTAGCAGCTCCACTAGCACCTATAAC